AAATCTTGAATTTACGGTGGCGCGTGATTACGTCACCGGAAGTTGTTAGCGCTCAGCAGTCTGCAATTGCAGCTTGTGATCAGAGCTGTTGCGCTCTATCCTTTGTCGTCATTATTCTCATTCAGAGTTTGCTTCGTGTACAATTCACCGAGGGCACGGGCAAAGAATAGGAATCTAGGAGGGCCCAGGGAAGCACTTTAAAACGGTACGTGTGAGCTACGATAGTTAACAGGCTGCAAAAGTGCATCGCATGCCTCAGTTTCAGGCTGTTTCTCATCATGGCGTGCGCGTGTGTGTGGTAAGGTTAGATCCCGGGAGGTTAGCTGATCGAAAAGTAGATCTTCGGTCCAAAAAGTTTGGGCACCCCTGCCCTAGATGGTCAGGGGCGGTGAGTCGGCAGCGCGCCGTACCCATATGCGTGTCCGATGGCGAACACCCGGCAGCCACTGATATGCGAGGTGGTGGGTAGAAGCTAGCCTGGGTAAACGGCAAATGCCTACATTAAACCAATGCCAATAAGACAGCTCCAAGAACAAGAAGGGCAAATGGATACGTGGATGTGAAGACGCATTAGGGGCAAACGACCAAGGCATCCGCGTCCAACAGCCGACCCGTCTGACCTCGTACGGGGAACACGGCGAGTGGGTTGTGAAGCCCGGAGGTAGCCGGTTTGTCATCGGTCCGGGGCAAAGACCCACAAATGGTGTCACACTGGGTCTCTGAGTAGTGAAGGCCGGCTGCGCTTTCCCATCATCCCCTTCGTTGGGAGGATGGGCAATCATTTGTTTCATGCACAGCACACACTCAGCCAATGGCCGAGGATAAAAAAAAAACAATTTGCTGAAATGCCTCGTCAGCGGTGTCCCAAGGTAGATTTCTTACCATAAAGAGGTAACAAAATAAATGATAACAACATATAACATAAAACAGTCAGTCATGCAATCTTAGCCATTTCTCCTGCATACTCGTTGTTGTTTGAAGCAGTTTTGGATGTGAGAGGAGCGACTCAAAGCACCCATCACGTCCCATACTTCTGCTACAAGCCACATTTGGAAGCAAACAAGTAGCGGCCACTGACGAAATTCGAGGTTAGGTGTTCAGGTTTAGCGTTAGGGTTAGGGTGTTCGGCCGCACGTGTCGAACTGCGGTCCTGGAGGGCCGCTGTCCTGCATGTTTTCAGAGTCTCCCTGCTGCAACGCACCCGATTCAAATGATCAGATCATCAGCAAGCTCTGCGGAAGCCTGACATTGCACCTGTTCATTTGAATCGGGTGTCTTGCAACAGGGAGACTTGGATTAGGGTTTGGAGTTAGGTTAGGGTTCTCTAGCTCGAAAATGTGAGAGCCCCCTTTGGCCGTGCGCGGCACGCGGCAATAGCTGCCCCTGCTGGTCAGAATTAGTCACTGCAACCTTCTGAAAGAATGCAGGTTAAGGGCTTTGGTGTTTGGGTTGGGAGTAGGATTTGAGGATCGAGTGGGGCGTTAGAGGAGTGGGGTTCGTGGTACGCGTTATACAATACATTGTCATTTATTTAGCGCTTCCACAACAGCTGCATCTGAAACAAAGCGCCTTTCAGACAATTCACAAAAAAATTACAAAATACGGTCAGATAACAACACATCGACAGCCGTGCAATCATAACCACTATACCTGCGGCCGCCACGTTGTTTGAAGCAGGTGCAGATGAAAGAAGAAAATCCAAGTGTCCTTTCAGCAGTGGATCAGAGACATCACGCTCAAAGCGTTCATGACGTCCCACGCTTCTTCTGCAAGCGTAGGCTGGGAGGAAACAAGCAGCTGTAGAGTCGGTTGACAAAAGAGAGAGGGAGCTTAGAAGAGGGATGGGCAATTCCAGTCCTGGAGGGCCACTACCCTGCATGTTTTCCATCGCTCCCTGTTGCAACACAACTTATTCAAATGAACAGGTTCAATAGCAGGCTTCCGCAGAGCTTTGCCGATGATCTGATCATTGGAATCGGGTGTGTTGCGACAGGGAAGCGGCCCTCCGGGACCGGAGTTCGACACCTGTGCTCATGAGACTCCAACACAGTATGGCGGGAGCATGGCGAAGTCGCATTCGGTCTCTGACGTGACAATGCGACTTCCTCGTCGCTCTCCTGACCACAGATCAATGTCCGTAACAAAACAAAATACAGTACACAAAATGGGTGATCGTATAGTAACTATGTACAGAAAAAAGAGAAAAAACACATTCGCCGTTAGAGATGAACGTGGACTTTCCTGAAAATTCCGGAAAATATTGTGATATATGTATGAAACGATTTTAACTGACTTACCAGGTTTGTCGACCTTTCTAATGTAGTCAGACAAAAAATGTCCGTTCAAGTCCTTTTCCTCAAGCATGATTCACTTTACGCAAAACGCTATTCAAATACTGGAAATTCAATGATTAATCTGCCTTTTGCGTGCACGGCGCCCCCTTTGTGGCTTCCGTTCTCGCCGAAGTCCGCGAGATATGGCGAGGCCGTGAGAATGCGAAGGGAGGGGTGTCACTGTTACTCGTGTTAGGTCCTCAACACGGCTACGCTCGCGAAAGCAACGTTTGGACAAAAAGGGAAACGCTCAGATTAGCAGCAACACGTGTCGTCTCCGCTCGTTTAGCTGTCGTCGTCGATCAAAGCTCCTTCGAGCCGTGACGTCGATTGCGTCGGCGCTGATTGGTTGAAACAAAAAGACGTCCGCGTGCGAACAAGTTCGCGGTGACGCACGCACGGCAGAGAGCGGCCGACGATCGAGTGCCGGCAGAGGCGCGCTTCGCTAGAGAGTGGCGTCGCTCCAAGCAAAACAAGCCACTCAAACGCGCGTTGGTTCAATGCTGTCAGCTAATATCAGATTCATTTTAGGCCATTTTTCCTCAACTTTCCGTTGGAACTTGAATGAAAATGTGAAAATCCGGAATTCACTGCCTGTTATTTCCAAGATTTCACCAACCGCATCACACGCGGCAGAAACGACTGCGCAAAGAAGAAGAATGGCGGCCGCGACGCACTGCGGGCTCACGCCAGTCACACAGGCGACCAAGTGAAAAACGACACCAACAACGACATCCAGTAAAACCGACGAGAAACAAACATTCGCTGCAAGCCGGTATGGCGGGAGCGACGGTGAAGTCGCATTCGGTCTCTGACGTGACCGCGCAACAAGCACCTTCGAGCAACTGAACGTGGAAAACGTTTCACTCGACAAAACGTCGATTAAATGACAATACAAAAAGCGAGGTGGACTCAGAACGAATCGCGGAACTAATTCGGCACACCGCACAATAGAAAAAGAAAACCAAAGTGAAATATTCGTCGAAAATTCTCAATGAACGCGGACCGTCAAGGAGACGCGACTCACCATTGCGACTTCCTCGTAGCGCTGTCGGAGCGAGGCGGGAAGCTGGAGCCATATTGTGCGCTGTTGCGTCACTTCCGTCGTCATTTATTCAACTTCATGCGTAGGAACACCTAAATCATCCAACAGCTCGTGATTACACGGGAAGAAATTCTTTTTCACGCCATCGTTTTCCTTTTTTTTTTTTTTTTTGGGCTGCTGCGAAAACCCCCAAAGTGAGCAGAAAGTGGGTCGGTCCTCCATTCGATTGGATGGGAGGGCTGCGATGGCGCGGCCTGTCCACTCGAGGGAGCCAGTGCTCCGGAGATGATGCTTTGGATGTTTTCCATTGGAAATGTCCCGTCGCAACACACCCGATTCAAATGAACGGCTTCAATATCGGGCTTCCGCAGACCTTGCTGATGATCTGATCATTTGAATCGGGAGCCTTGCGACGGGGAGACTTGGAAAACATGCGGGACGTTCGGCCCTCCGGGACCGGAGTTGGACACGAGGATCGTTCGTGTGACTGCAGCCCCCTGATGCCTTGGAGTTGGACCGCCGTTGAGCAGTGCTGCCACGCGGACCCGGATGAGGTTCACCTCCGGTGGACCTTCGCCGTTCTAGGGTGGCAGCTTGATCGTCCGTCTGGGATTCGGCCTCTCCGCGGCATCGTTGAGGGCCGTACACCCCCCCGCCCCCCCCACCCCCATGTTCGCTGCCCTTGAGGGCGTAGCTCCCTCCCCACCCGATCGGACAGTATTTGCCCCGCCGCTTACGATTGCCGTTCTTCTCCTGAAGTCATAGCTTGAATGTTTCAATCGCTACGGTCATGGTTTGCATTTGGCAAATACATTTCTCCCACGAACGTGACGCACGCGAGGGAGCGAAGACCGGAGAACCGGCATTGCTGAGAGTACAAGACGCCGCTTCACGCATGCCTAAGATCGACGTGGGTGTCGTCGGGCGACCGCCTGCAGATCGCGAACTGAGCTGATCGCCGATAAGCTGCGGGTTGCGTCGGAGTGAGTGTCCTGCAGAAGGTGAAGAGAGGAAGGAAAAAAAAGAGGAACAAATGACACGCGGGACACTGGAACACCTCCAAAGAAAAGGAAAGAAGCTCAAAAGCGAGACAAGCGGGTGCACAACAATCACAGAGCCCCTTGTCGTACACGCACGTACCCGCACGTACCCGCTTGACTAGATTTTGCTTTCGGATAGTTCGGACTCCGTTGATTTCATTTGAGAAGATTCCCTTGGATGTTTTCCCATTTTGCCGGCGCCGCCGACTTGGCTGTCATCGACGTGGACCGGGCAAAGCGGACAGCATGCGCGAGTATGAGATGAACACGAAAACGTTTCGGCGTTTCGGGCGCGCTCTCAGCGATTGCCGTTTTGCTCGCGACTCAATAAAATGCTTTCGGATTCGCTCCCGATAGCATCGGTGGTCAATCCGCTTCCTCGCACGCATTTACGAGGCGCATCAAGTCATCACGCTCCCGGTCGAGGATGACGCGAATCGGAACATCGCGACGCTCCGACGGCGCAATACAAAAGGCCAAATTCTCCGCATCGGCGTCACCAAAGACCGACGCTGTCATAGCACAAACAACAACAGGTCCGACAGGTCCCGCGCCCGCGGGCGGCCCTGCCTTTTCCCCGCAGCAGCAGACTCTCTGTCGTCATTGCCATCGAGCGAGCGGAAAAGCCGTCAGACTTTCAGAACAACTCCTCTCCCGACTCGCCGAAAGAAGGAAAACTCGAGCGAGGCGACCGTCGCTCAGCGGCTCACGCGAGGGACTCCGCCGAACTCGTCTTTGCTTTTTCGGGACAGGTCGAGAAGACAGACATGTCGCCCGTTTCGGGCCTTTTGGGCGTCCTGCTGCTTGCGAGCGCGGCTCGGGGATTTGGAATTCTGCCCGGAAATTCGAGGAGCCACCAGGAGATCACGGAGGAAGCCATTTTGAACGTCACCGTACAAGTGTGCCGCGCGCTGGCCGAAGCCGAGGGGAACGACTTCGCCCTTCCCGTGAGATCCCTTCTCGCTTCGGCGCTCGCCGCCCGCGCGCGTTGTATCTGTCGCCGGTCCGTGCCCACGAGGCCTCTCGATTTGCTGTCGGAAACCGAAGAGACGAAAAATGATGACGGCACCTCATCCAAAGAGTTTATGTCGATGATTCCCGACCGGTGCGCCGGGCCCGGCACGCTCGTGAGCCGCGGTGACTTCAAATTCATTGGTGACAAAAAGATCGCGTATATTTGTCCATCGAGCGATGTCAGCGACTTATCGTGGGAGAAAGAACAAAACCGCTCATCTTGGATTAGATGGCAAAAAGGACGCGATTGACAGACGTATCCTCTTTTTGTGACCATTTGGTTTGGTGGCGCGCCGTGCCATTTTTCCAACTTGAAGGAAAAAACCAAAAACGGGCCTTGGCTGGAAATCACCGGTGTACGATCACCCCCGTCTT